GAGTCTTGGCTGTCTCCAGAGCAACTGTTTAATCTAGCCATCACTTCAGTTCTCCTATATACCAACCATTTTATTTTCTCCCAGACTGCCATTAATCCTGCATGCCCACATATCTCTAGCACCACCATGTTCCAGCTATATCAGCTCTGGTAAATTCCCTGTGAGCCCCTAACCCTCACCAACCATTCTTTGTTCCAGATAATTTTTATTTTGTTATTTTGATCATTTTATTTAGACTTTTAGCTCGCCCTCCCCTGCACAGCAAGGCTCAGGGCAGGTAACAACAAGTTAAAAACAATATCATAAATTATTTGTTAAAAATGCCATTAACATAGTAACAAAATCAAAATTAAAAACAGATGGCGACTTAGGCACTAATAACAGAAATTATCCAAAGTGAGGTTGTGCAGCCTGTGTGTCAGTGTAGATGAGTACAGGGACAGAATAGATGGTGGGGAGGGGACTGGGGGGGGGGAGGCCAATTTAGATGGCAACTTTGCTGCCTCATCTGTATGCCTGGTGAAACATTTCTGTTTTACAGGCCATGCAGAACTGGACCAGATAATAATTCAACTTCAGTTTCTCTCAGCCTAACCTATCTCACACGGTTATTGTGAGGATAAAATGGAGGAGAGGAGAATAACATAAGCTGCTTTAGGAAGAAAGATCTAAATGAAGTGAATAAATAAACCTAGTATCTTTTCTCCCTATGTTCCTTTAGCTTCTTATGCATTGTGATATACCATCTTAATTAGATGATGCTCCAGTCTCCCACCGTTGAGTTTTCAAGCATGTTATTTTCACTCAGAAGGTCCTCTTTTGAATTCCTAAAAGTATTTAGTCTACATAAACACTTTTTTTAAAAAAGCCCCCCCCCCCCCCCGGTTATTCTACTGTAATGTCTTCCACAAACTTACCTGCTGCACCAACCGTCAGTTTTATTCGTCCCTGATGGACCACCATTCTGTATAGGAAACTGTGTGCCAGCTGCAGAGTCTCTCCTCAGAGGTCTGGATGCTGGTTGGTTGTTCTGAAGTGTCTTTGATTGTGCCAGTGCTATGGTTTACCAGTAGGAGTGAGGATCACTTCTTCCTCACTGGTCTTGAGGAAAACCTGTAAGGCCATTTTATTCCAGGGAGCTTTCTGTTAATTTTTCTGAAAGAGTAGTTATGTTTTTGCTGGCTTTCATACCTAAGTTTAAATGGTGTATTTTGACTTCGGGGCCCTAGTATCTTTTCTCCCTATGTTCCTTCAGCTTCTTCTGCATTGTGTTATACCATCTTAGTTAAATGATGCTCCAGTCTTCAGGCATGTTATTTTCACTCAGAAGGTCCTCTTTTGAATTCCTAAAAGTACTTAGTCTACATAAAAACCTTTTTTTAAAAAGCCTCCTCCCCTTTATTCTACTGTAATGTCTTCCACAAACTTACCTTCCACAAACTTCCACAAACTTACCTGCTGCACCAACCATCAATTTTATTAGTCCCTGATGGACCACCATTCTGTATAGGAAACTGTGTGCTAGCTGTGGAGTCTCTCCTCAGAGATCTGGATGATGGTTGGTGTTCTGGAGTGTCTTTGATTGCGCCAGTGCTATGGTTTACCAGTGGGAGTGAGGATCACTTCTTCCTCACTGGTCTTGAGGAAAACCTATAAGGCCCATTTTATTCCAGGGAGCTTTCTGTTAATTTTTCTGAAAGAGTAGTTATCATGTTTTTGCTGGCTTTCATGCCTAAGTTTAAATGGTGTATTTTGACTTCTGAAGTTCTTTTACATGTGCTGTTTTTATTGTCTGCCTATCTTCTGTGTACCTTACAAACTTCTTTGAGCTCACATTTGTGAAGAAAGATGCTCTAGTAGTATTCAAAACACTCACCTTTCAGCCATACTTCTTAAGGGCTAGATCCTTACAGATGCAGCCGGAGTTCCACTTGGGGAATGGTGCTTTCCACTTCCTGTTACCATTCTCATGCCGTCCTAAAAAGCAACTCTAGAATGGCATTGAATTCAGCGTAGAGGAGGCTGTATTTGGAGGGTGAAATGGATGATAACCCCCCACAACTATAAATACCCTCTGCATGTTCTAAGATCCTTTAGATCCAGTCCTAAAGCAATGTGCAGAATGTGTAGCTTAAGTGCAATGTGTAGTAGAAGTAGTTCAAATGCCCTTTTTGTAGCCCCAATACTCTTGACATGTATGCATACTCCCAGCACAGTGACATAATTTTCATTCAGCTGGGTATTAATTTGTACATGTTTTTACGTGTTTTTCCTTTTATCCTTGTATTAAAAAATAGTATTTATGAAGAAGCTCTTCATTTGTTCCCTTAGGTCAGCCTCTCCCAGGGGGCTTTTTTGTTTGATTGAAGTGTAATAAAGAAGCAAGAAGTTGATTAACGATTGACCTTTTTAAATCCTAACTGGCATCTGTTTATGTGCTATGGAGCGACTGAACTGCTATTTCCCCTTAATTTCTTCAAATCTGCGAGTTGCTTGTGGTTCAGTTTAGGTGATATTCTTCCACAAAACATAATGGGGAAGCAAGACCACTCTGTGCCTTCCTACTTGTCTAGCATAACCATCTCAGCTGTCATCCACCTTGAGCCCTAATGAGAAAGGCGAACTATAAATGAAAATAGTATAAAAGAAATCTCCAGGATGTGAGTGGAATATTTGAATAAGGCAGATGTACATAAAATACTGTAATCAACATTCCAAATAACATCTTGGCTCTGACTGTGCAGCCTGGTACTTACATATATTGGATTTCACATGTATAGGTAAAGGTAAAGGTTCCCTTGCTCGAAAGCCAGTCGAGTCCGACTCTAGGGTTGCGGTGCTCATCTCCGTTTCAAAGCCGAAGAGCCAGCGCTGTCCGAAGACGTTTCCGTGGTCATGTGGCCGGCATGACTAAACACCAAGGCGCACGGAACGCTGTTACCTTCCCACCGAAGTGGTCCCTATTTATCTACTTGCAATTTCTTGCTTTCTAACTGCTAGATTGGCAGGAGCTGGAACTAGAGATGGGAGCTCACTCCGTCATGCGGCAACTTGGGTCTCGAACTGCTGAACTACTGACCTTCCACAGCCTGCAGTTCAGCGTCTTAACCACTTGAGCCATCGCAGCTCCGTTTCACATGTATACATTTTGTTAAAATATTTTACACACATATGGATGATCTGTGGCCTTAGAGGGAGAGCAGGTGTCCTAGGTAGGTGGTGAGTAAAGTCATGTTATTGCTCCCCAATCCAACATAGGTGAAAATTATTTTCTGAGTCTGGCTTGCATCTTCCTCTGCATCAGACAATTCATGGTCTCTAAAGCAGTCCAGCTTATTGAGTTACTGATATGGTCTGCTGTACTTTGTGGCCATACTTCAGTTTTAAAAATCAAATGTTTAGTTTTATTAAGTATTTTGTATTTTGCAGTGTTATGGTAGTACAAAGAAAGTGAAATACTGCTTTGTTGAAGTAACCTTATTTCCCCCTCTCCTTCCTGTTGATTAATTTTAAAGTCCAAGAATAAACAATGTAAATACTTACAATTCTAGGCTGTCTTCTTCAAAACATTTATGATACTGTACTTAAATTCAAAATCTCTTAGAATCTATACTCTTGTATGATACATGGCTCTGACAGTTTTTTACAGTGCACACTGTAGACTAGTAATCTTCAGAACTAAGGACTCTAGCTGTGAATGTGATACTTTGACTGGATCTCACCTTTTGATCTTACACTTTGCCCTCAGAGGTTATCAACACTCTTAGGTTTTCAGTTTGTTCTGAGCTGTATGCTCTTCCCTGAGGTGCATCCAGACATAAAAAAGCAAACTCAAAAGCTTTTTATGGAACAGTGAGCCTCTTTCTGTGGCTTACTTTCAGATGTCATGAGTAAACCAGGGTTGACTGTGATGAGAATGATCCAGGAAGTCCTCAGGTTTATGTACTCCTTCCTCTCATTGTATGCCAAACCAGGACTGAAGAGTTCCTAGCACTAACCAGAATTTGTGATGACATGCAGAGCGGATAGTTTGTTTCATAGCTAGGACAGAATTCTACTGTGTTTTAGTATCCTGATTTTAGGCAAGAAACAAACTACAGTCTGCATCTAATTTGCAGGATCTTGGGTGTCCTACACAGTCTGCCCATTCATCTAATTTGCAGGATCTTGGGTGTCCTAATCTACCTTTTTTGATACCACAACTGCTTGATTTCATAATCGTAATCTTTATTGGCTCTTGAGTCCTCCCATGAGCATTACTCCCATGAATTTCAGTGTCATTAAGATTCAAATGTGGACATGAATTGAAATTCTTTGATTTATAACACTGAACACATTTATTTTGAAGAGATTAAAATTGTTGAGACTTATTTCCAAGAAAACATATCTAGAACTTGAGTGATCCTAGTCTTTCAAACCAAAATCAAATAATATTTTGAAGCTGATAGTCTGAAATAAGAAAAAAAGGATAGTTAATGAAATTATCTTTCTGTGTTAGAGGTGTCCCGTGGTCTGAGTTACATAGTGGTCTAACGCAGTATAAGACATTCCTGTATCTGAATTCCATGCTTTATCTGTGAATGTATGGCCACAGTGCAGAGAGCTCCTTGTAGATGTACCCACATTTTCCTCAAACCTCTGTACCATTCCACGGTGCAAAATGCCCTTTGAAATCACATGAGTTTCAAAACTTGTAGGGAATTCAATTGAGTCAACAGGCTTAAATTGTAGTCCTATTGAGCTGTAACTGTACTTACTTGTAAGAAAATATTTTTAGGATTATAATTGTAGTTGCATCATGTCTTATGCCATGCTTGAAAATAAATACATAGAGCTTCAGGATTTGATAATGGCTGGATATAACCAGGTTTCCATTAAAAATGCCTGTTGTAATTTTCAACATTAATTATTATCAGTCAAAATGCAAATGTTGCTTTTGCAGAAGTCTGTTTTGTGATGTGGATGCTCTTATAACCTTTGCTTTGCGTGTTTTTTTCCAGATACCCAGAGAGCGGCATTGTAGATATGACTGTTCGTAATCTACGCCCGCGAGCAAGAACTATTTTGAAATGGAACGAATTACGTGTGGGTGATATGGTAATGGTTAACTACAACGTAGAGAGTCCTGAAGAAAGAGGATTCTGGTTTGATGCAGAAATTACCTCTTTAAGGGAAATTTCAAGGACTAACAAAGAAATTTATGGCAAAATTATGTTGGGGTAAGATTTTATTGATACATTTTAGAAATCTGTTTACCAAAAAGATGATTTCAGTTTTAAATGCAGTGACTCTGCAATTTAAAAAACAGTGGGATTTCTCATTTCCACTTAGCTCTGGGTCCTTTGTTTCGAGAAGAAAGTTGTTTTAAAAAATAGATGTACCGTAGTTTATACTGATTGGTTTACCACTGGTAGCTGGAGTGAATCTCTGTGCGTAGGAGGAAACTGGGTTTTCATCTGGAATCCATTGAGGATCTTGGAAAAGAGCAAAAGAGTATCAGACCCTGGTTCTCCTTGCCTTTCCTCAAGCACTGGGATGGGGGGATATTCTCTGGATTTCCACAGAAGCCAGATGAAGATCAGAAAGAAGCTGGAGAACCTGTGAATTTATCTTGGATAAAAGCTGCATTGGGGAAGATATACCCCCCAAATGGTATATAAATATTTTTTTCACAATACATGCAATAGAATTCTGGTGATCTAATATTTTTTTCCCAATCTGTGTTCTTAGAGCAGTAAAACTAAGAGTTCAGATTAAAAACAAAAACACACACCCCCAACCCTAGATATCCAACATTTCCTCATGGGCTTATTTTTCATTCACTTTGCTTTGTGTAAAGAGCTGGGAATGAATGAGTCCTTTCTCTGAATTTTTATTGCTTTAAGTTTTTAATTATAGGTTCTGCTCCTATATATTCAATAGCAGTCTAACATAAAAATTAAGCTGATAAAACTTCATACATCTGTTTTTTTACTATTCTGTAACATAAAAGATAATTGTATACTGTATTTCCCAGAGTAGTGTATCATCACATCAGCATTATTCTAGGTATGTCTATGAGAATTTCATTTTCCCTTAGCATTGTGCTTGTCCATTTCAGATGATTTTTGGATTTTTCCCTATTTAGCTATTTTCAAAACCACTAATGCATCTCAGCTCTCATTTACATTTAGTAGAAGAACTACCAAATGCAGCTGCATTTCTCAGTGGAATGTCAGAATCAGATGTCAATTTGCAAGGAGAGCTAAAGAATAACAGCTGGGGCAGCAATTATATCAATAAGAGTAGGGAAACGTCATTTGTTCTGTGTGGGTTTCTTCAACATAGGAATTTTGGAGGTAACCCTAGCACAATTATTTTGTAGTAAGTTCCTTTGCAGTTTGCTTGGACTTATTTCTGACAATATTTTGTGCATATGATTTCTAGGTTAGCTGGTAAAAGGGGAAGCGTATAATACTTACATACTGAACCATGGCCAAAATAATAATTCCCTTGTATGTCCAAGTGGCTCATAAATGTGTGGGGATAAGGAGTATAAAAGTGAATAAGGAGTATAAAAGTATTTTATTATTTGGGAAAGGTTCATCTTTGCTAAACAAATGGTGTTATGAATTTCAACATGTTCTGACTAATACGGTCAATCAGAACAATTGCCAGCAAAGCCAGAAATAACTTACTTGCTTAAGTTTATTTCTTCAGTTCGCTGAGTGAGGGATGTAGTGCTGAAGTGGCAAGTCTAACTGCACCATTTTTCGAGTCCAGTGGCACCTTTAAGACCAACAAAGTTTTATTCAAGGTATAAGCTTTTGTGTGCACACTTATCTGAATAGTTAGCATCCCTCTCAGAGTAACTCAGGCACCTCCCAAAATCCTGTTCCTGCCACTGACAGAAAATGACATGAATTTTAAGTATATAAGACCCCACCTTTAGCCCAGCATTTTAAGTTCAGTTTCATCCCAACTCTGTTCCTCTGCCACTGTGACTCTATGAGGTTCAGTCAGGCTCAGCTTTACCCCAGGACTGTTTTTTACCATCACAACTCTTGACAACGCTAACCCTTTCCTGCTCTTTCTTCTTGTTGTTCTTCCTTCTCTCTTTTTCTCCTGCTCTGCCATTCTGATCTTCAGCCTGATTCCTCTGTGTCCCTTATTTGGGTTTTCTTGTTCACATTCCCTTCCATCTTCCTCCTTTCTTGTGGAGGAAATAAAGAGCCTAGTAAGGAACGTGTTGCAACCCTCTGGTTTCTGCATGGTCCTTCCCCTTCTGTACAGTCAACATGGAAAACCTTCCAGCTTGCTGCTGCTAGCAGTCCTGACTTCTGTCGTGCCAACAGGAAGTGGAACCGATGGTGACAGTCATAGTTGGTGACAAAGCACGTGCATGTTCAGGTGGAGTCTGGTTGGACTAGTCATGGGTGGGCACATCTAGCTGAATGTGGCAGTTTCTACTAGGAACAGCTTAACTGCATTGCCTAATTTTATGCGTTTGAATGGCTGTTCCACTGCATTCCCTGATTTTGTGTACTATATTGCATTGCTTTCCTTTCTACCATTCTTTTTAATTGTGATCAATACAGATTAATTTAGTTCAAATATAAATCTTTTTTTCTTTGTCATATTTTCCTATGTATCACTTCAAGTACATACCATTGTATACACAGAATCCCACACCTGGGCTGGGATACATATGTGTAAAGGCTGTACACGTGTATTCCCTCAAGTGTACCTTTGTGGTAACAGGTTGGTGAAGTCCTACCGTGCATTCTCTGTGGCCAGTATGGAAATTACTTTTGGATCCATCCCTCTATAATTTGTCAGCTATATGGATAAACAATGATATTCATTTGTTTATATCAGAGAAGGGGAGTATGTAAGTATGTCTGTTTTCCTGAAGATTTTTCTGTCGACCTATCATGCATAAATAAATTTGCACCATCAATATTTTGTAAAAAAAAAATCAACACACTATAGACTGCTGGTCATTGTGAAAGATGAGATCCACATCTCTTCAGGCTTTTGCAGACTCTAGTTATAGCAGCAGAAAGGGTTAGGATCTGTCGTAATTTCTATCTTGACCCCCCATCCCCATGCAGTTCAAAAAAATCCACACAATTGGGCTATGTAGGGATAATGAAGAGATCTACCTAAGACTGCAGAAGAACCTGTACAGTGGAGGGAAAACTCCCCTCCCCCAGTGTTTGGGTGACATTTGGGTTGCTGGCCCCAAAAGGAGATAAGGGAACCAGAGGTTGGGGGGGGGGGATAAAGTGCGTGGGCATGAGACGAAGAAGATGTGGGGGTTGCAAAGGGAATGAGTGGCTTGATGGAAAGCAGCAGCCAAAGGGAATGCACTGGATAAGATAGATGGAAAATTAGCACAGAAGTGGAGAACCTATGGAGCCTGCCAGGAAAAGGAAATCAGCAGGGAGAGATGACACCCCACCACCAGTCCTTAGCTGTCCCCTGCTTGTTTCTACATAGTGCAGTTCTATTAAGTGTGGTCTGGAAGATTCTATTCTGAATATCTACCTTGTTTATTTTTTATAGTTTTAATTTTTTGAAAAGACAGAAATAGTATAAAGAAACTACAGAAAGAAAAAAAAGGTTACCTAACATAATTATATATATATATATATCATAGATGATTATATATACCCAAGTATGAAAGACAGAAAATATTTTTCTCCAATGCCCCTTCGTTACATTGAAAAGGTTTTGGAACTTATTAGTTTCGTCATTACTACACACCCAGTATTACATGTTTTCACCTCTTCTGCATAATCGCTATTACTTTTAGCATGTAGGTAATCTAAGAAAAATACAGAAGGAAAGTCTATTATGTATCTCATATTAAGAAAATTTAAAATGTTGTTCTTCCCAGAGTCCACTTCCTTACACATATTTATATTCAGGATGTTAAATTTAAAACTGTAATACAAAATCTAAAACTGATTCTGCTTCTTCTTCATTACCATACATTTGCATACAGTAATTTAAACCACATCTCATTCTAAATTTGTCTCCTGCTTGCATAGTATTCCATCTCTCTTCAAATTTCATAACTGACCTGTTTCTCAAACAAGTTGTTAATTTGCCATTACTACATATTCAGCAAGTTTATTTTCTCTGGTGGTCCAGGAGTGGGGCAGTCCTTGACTCCTTACTCCTGGGAAAGCACCTCCCCCTCCCGTAGGCAGGGCCGGCAAACTTTGATCCCAGAGGGGAGGGGCTTATCCTCTGATCCCCAGTCTTACCGGCCCTGCCTTCTGAGCAGGATGTGCTGGCTGTGCTCTGAAGAGCACGAAGATCCCAGAAGACACTGGAAGGTCAGAAGAAGAAGCGGAGACCTAAAGGGCAATGGTAGAAAGTATTTACTTTCCAGCCCTAAAATATATTCGAGAGCTGCAGGCCTCGATTTACAATGAATCCGGCGCTGGCAGTCCTGGGAGGCCCCCAGGCGGTCACAGCGTCGAGAGGAACGCCTCGGACCCCGCTGGGAAGGCGGCGGTAAACTGCCCCCCCCCCCCCCATCCAGCCGCGGCGGCGTGCAGCGGTTTTGGGGACAGACTGCAGGCCTCTAATTACAATGGATCCGGCGCCGGCAGTCCTGGGAGGCCCCCAGGCGGTTGCAGCGCCGAGAGGAACGCCTCGGACCCTGCTGGAAAGGTGGCGGTAAACTACTTCCCCCCCATTCAGCCGCGGTGGCTTGCAGCAGTTTTGGGGACAGACGCTCAGTGAAGAACCTGGGGAGAGCAGAGGCAAGAGAGGCAGCCGAGGGTGGTGCAGAATCTGTCGCCTTCCCTTTCGGCATTGGAATGGAGCCCCCTCCTTGTTCCAGATCGTGGCGAGGAGGGACGTGTCTCCTGTGCAGTCTACCCGGTCGGCTGAACCACGGTAGGGCTGTATCCATTGAGAACTGGCAAGGTGTGGAGGGGGAGAGAGAAAGAGGGTTACCCCCCCTCCTCCAGTTTTCTTTTCCCCACCCTTTACTCCTTTCCTCTGGATCTGGATGGGAGGTTCTTTTAAAGGAGGAATTGCTTCTGGTCCATGGGTCAGGTCTCTAGCAGGGACATTTTACAGTCCTTATTGCTGGGCCTTT